CGGGCCCAGCACCTGCCTACATATGTAATTGTTTATGTGTGTTAATACTATATGTGTAATGTAGCCCATTACACCAACTGAGCAACATGTTGCTCAGGAGGACAATGCAAGAGATTGACCAGGGCTTGTTCACCAAGTCCCTGCGCCATATGCACTGCCAACTCCCTATGATGTTGGGAGAGGTGAGAGAAGTCACTCCAGTCCATATTAAGGACCATGTCAACCACACGCACGCTCAGAGAGACGGGTCGTGGGAAGGACTACTAGTGCTACCAAGTGTAGACGGGCACTTCTATGAAGTTGCCTCGTACTACGAGCACACACCTTATGCACAAGCGAGGAAGCGGTTATACCGTCTTACCTTCGCGTGCGAGGGTGGTTGGGAGGTTGGTTGACTGCTTAAGCAGTCGTACCACCAGTTGCCTCTCGCTTAAGCGAGAGTGCAACGAACTTCTTAACACTTAGAACACCGACGTCACGCAGAAGTCTTTCAACTTCTCGTGCGTGGTGTTGCTGTTTAAGGAATTCTAGACTGAGCTATATTTAATTAATTATAACTAAATATATGTTTAACTACTGATTGGCTATATATATATATATATATATATAGATCGGATACGCGACTCTTTAGAAGCGTATCCGGTCGCATGATCTTAAATCTAGATTTAAGATCGCAACTGACGTCCTTCTGAGACGTCGTGATGCCTAGCTTCAACTAGCGTCATCCCTTCTCATGTGAATCCATCAATGGATATCACATTCACGAGGGTGGATCACATTTGTGTATCGCACCCAAGTGACTGGTTAAAAGTAATCATGGATACTTTTAGACCAAACATTAAGTATATTACTTAATGTTTACGTGTAACTAGGTACCCTGTTACACATGTGTAACATGCGTTCGATGGAAGTCAAACAGCCAGCGCCAGAAAGGGTTAATGATTCCTACCCCCATTCCAAAGAAATGCTGGAAGTAGTGTCAATGGACTTCATTACTGGACTACCCGTGTCGAAAGAGTATGATGCTATCTGCGTCGTCGTAGACAAGGTGTTAAAAAGGCCGATTTATGCACCAACGTATAGCACTGCCGATTCTTAAGACACCGCAAAGTTGATTGTTGACGCCGTAGTCTGGCATCATGAACTTGCGGAAGGTAATTATCAGCAATCGGGATTCCAAATTGACGGCAATCTTCTGAAAATCTCTAGTGACCATAACGGGTGCCAAACTAAGCATGACGACCGTATGTTTTGGACTACGCCCGTAAGTTCTGGACTGCGACCGTGGCTTCGATTCGGCGATATGTCTCGGCCATAAAGTAGACTGTACATACCGAGGCTGCCGCGCAAGCCATTCTGCCGGAATGATATTCAAATACTGTCGCGAATTCGTTCAGTCGCCATGAATCGGTGCCACAGCACAATGATAGTCAACTTCCACTGAAAGTCGCTGCTTACAATGACATCGACATGCGCCTGGTTTTCAACCTCATAGAAGGATCGACCACCAAACGATAAGTTGCCATTTGCTGGTCAACTCAATTTTCACGTTTCTTGACAGCCTTTTGACTATGATTGCGCTGTATCGACAAACAAAACAATACCATCAACGAGGCAGAAATGATACTATAACTTGAAGGCTACATTTTACCATCTCACGTTCGACCACTCGACTAATGATCAGGTCGATTGGAATTTCCAAATGTATTTAGATAAGCATATCATCGCCCTCATCGTCTTCACCATTTGTTACAGTAGTGAGACCCTGGGCTTTGTACAGGTCGGCAATCTGATTTCGACAACAAGTAGCACAATAATAGTTGATCATAGAATGTTCAGTGATTGTAAAGAACCTCCAGCGTACCTGAGATGAGTTGGTCGCCTCCGTTGTCGTCTTGTCATCACGGATGCGAATAAAGCGGGGAAAGCGTAGTGAAATACCCTTGTCCTTGGCAACGAGACCGATGGCTGCCGTGTACTTTGGCGAGATGGACAGATCTGCGCCTAAAATTTCCCACACACAACTTGCCTCAAACCAAACATCAGGCTTGCTTCCTTCACCAACAGCATAGTCACTAGGAGGCTTATCCACGACTTTCTCCTTCAGTTGATCGTAAAACTTCTTAAGCACTTCATCAGACAAACCAGTACCCAGCTTTGTAATTGGTTGGTACATTTCGGTGTCCGGATCATAGCAAGCTAGTAGATATGCACCGTATACACCAGTGCGCTTGCCACGTCCATGGAATGCACCAATCGGAACTAGGTCCACTGAGTCACCAATGCCGTCGAGATAATCCTTCTTCAGCTTTAACCACTTGTGAGAACGATTAGCAGGCTCGTAAGTTGCTTCCTTTTCGAGAGTTTTCACCATCAGGCCTTCACAGTTTTCGCGCACAGCCTCCTCCAAAAAATTACGGACCTTATCCACAGCTTCTTCCATCGCCTCGGGGTTATCTTTCACATCGACACTATCCTCTACATCTAATGAGGTCGCAAATTCAAAGTTACCAGGATTCACCTCAAACATCTCACGCAGTTTTTCACGTCGTTTCGCTAATGGAGTGCCAAGGAACGATTCACCGTTGAGATACAGCAAGTCAAATGCGTAGATACACACAAAAACCTTGATATCCTCCAGCTTGACGTTCTGCAATTACGAAACGCAAAAAGTTAAACACGATCAAAGAACAACTGAACTTTAGTAACGTACCTTTCGAGAACGTGTACTGAGAATCTGAAAGGGCAAACGCTTGTTCGTAGCACGATCAACGGCGACCACCTCTGTGTCAACAATACAACTCTTGACAATGCCAGGCTTGGCAGCGTTTGAGATTGCCAGTTTGACATCAGGGAACCGCTCTGTAGAGTTCTCGAAGTTGCGAGAGAAAATGGCCATTTCTCCGGTTGAAAGTATGTGAATTTGTGCGCGTTCTCCATCATACTTGTACTCGCAAGTGAACGGTTTGCCTTCAAAACGATCGAACACCATCGCATACGCCTTGGTTGGACGAGCAAGCATGGGAGATACTGGCGTACCTGGTGTCAGCACACACTTCTCAGCAACCTTTGCAAAGTCCTTCACGCGAAGGAAAGGAGCCGAAGGGACATTCCTCTGCAGTTCGCAAAACGCTGCAACCAATGCGTTGTAGCTTGGACACTCCGCAAAGGCCTTCTTAACAAATGTTAGAGCCTCCTGCTGTTTTTCTTTGTCTTTGTAATCCTTGTCCGTCATGAACGCGTATGTCAACCCCATCAAAATCGACTTTTCTGCCAGTCCGATACGAAGCTTACCCTGAAGTCCACGAATAATGTACTTGGCCCCTTCTGCTGACTGTGCATCCTTATCTTGGGACTTCTTTTCCTTTTCACATTTTACCAGCAAGCCTTTGATAATCGAGCACTTTTGTTGTTGCGAGTTGTTTCCAGTCATCTTAGCGATCTTAACGAACTGGTCGTACACATGCTGGACGGTAAGTTCAGTACCCTTTGAAGAGGCCGGTGTAAGAGATGTAAATGACAACGTCTTTTGCTTTGAGCGTGCATTCTGTGCAACCTTACCAAGATCGCCCTCCTTGTGGTACATTTCCTTAATAAACTTGAGATTCGCACCTGTTGCTTCGCCGATAGCTTTCATGAGAATAGCATCACCAATACCAATCTTGAGGTTTTCAAAAGGCGGTGCCAGATCCACACACACGCATAGATAGATACAAGCCAATAGATCGTCCGGTGAACGACGAATGACATCTCGGAAGAACGTCGTCAGTAGATCCTGGATAACAAGACGGCCAGTAACTTCTTCAATCTTTGCAAACAAGTGAGCTAGAGCACAATAAGGAGTCTTCCGAACATCGTTGCTCTCGTCTTCCTGCTTTAACGTAACATCGTCGATTTCTTTCTTGATGTTTGTCTCCTTCTTATCGTCCATTGGGGACGATTTTATACCCTTTCTCGCCTTCTTCGAGACGGGAGTGAAAAAAATAGTCTTTGATGCTGCTGTGACTGTCTTTCTCTCGGCTAAAGAAGCAATCTTCTTCATGTCAACATTGTCAACCTCGTCAACCTCGTCAACCTCTTTTTTCTCATCCTTTTCGTTCTTCTCCTTGTTCTTCTTTGTCTTCTCATTCTTCTTAATACTCTTCTTATCCTTCAGAACCATCTCCATCGCCTTCTCGACATTCTCTGAAATTGACACTGGCGACGTCATGTCAATCACCTCATTCTTCTTCACTTTCTTATCGTTAGTACTGATGGGTAAATCCATGTCACTGTCTTCGTCCTCCTCCTCTACTATACATTGCCGCAGTCGATGACGTCCAGCTGCTCACAAATGTCAATACCCTGTCAGTATATGTAAGACGCCACTTCATATTCAGCCAGTAGCAAAGCAATACGTACGCTTTGTCGTGCTCTTTACTTCCTTCTCTTCTTCTTCTTCTTCTTCTTCTTCTTCTTCTTCTTCTTCTTCTTCTTCGTTAGCGTCTTGCTTTTCATCGTCCTCTGGCTCTTCCTCCATCTGTTGTTCTACTTCTTGTTCTTTTTCCATTTTCTTTTTCTTCTTCTCCTCTTGAGCTGTATTTTTTCGTTTCTTCACTGTTTTAACGAAAGATTCGGCAGGTATCTCAGTGTCATCATCATCTGCAAGTTTACGTTTCTTGGGTAAAGACGTCTCTTCTGTATTTCCACCAAAGAATGACTTGATAGAGCGCTGCGTCTTGGCAGCAGCCGCTGCTTTCTTCCCCATTTCGATCCAAGCTTTTTTACGAATGAGCTCAACCAAACATTTTTGGCGCGTACAATTCAGATGACTACCATACTTCTGATTCGACTTTTTTGTTATAACCGCTATAAACTTATACATAAAAATGTCCTTAGTCCTGTCAAAAACCTCTGTAAATATAAATGATCCTGTAGAAATACATGTCTACTATTCTACTCTTTATGGCGACAGAGTCTGTAGTGCTGCTCAAATTAATTTGGCGGGAACTTCAAAAATGGGTCGCAAGCTCTTGACGCTCGTGCCGTCGGCACTGCCGTCCGCGACCAGTTTGGGGCGTTTCCACTCGGACGCAACGGACGTGCCCTTCCTGTCTATTGTACTCTGGACCTCTTGCTCCGTTGGCGACTCGACACGTACGCGGCAGTTGGCTCTGGACAAGGACAAGTGTCGTCTGCTGGAGCTGCAGCGTCTGCAGCCATTAGAAGGCACACGCAGCTGGTTTGTAGGCAGCACTGTCATACAGGACGGCGAAGTGATGGTCTTCTCTCCCATGGATGAGCTCTTTGTATTGCTGGACGCCGCATGGCCTCAGCGCATGAGGTTTTCATCAGTCTTTGACCTATTGACGACAGCGAGCAATACGTGGCTCTTGAAACTCTCGACATTGTGTGAGAAGATAACAAACATTTGTGATGTCCAAGTGATGGATGGAGACGATGGTGTAGAGAATCTTTATATAAAGATCAATGAGAACAAGACGATGGACTGGTTAAGGAAAAAGGTGGAGAAAGTGGCTAAAGTGCTGCTGAGACAGGAACAGGACCGAGTTACTAAAGCTGCAAATGCAGCAGCATTTGATGAGCATGTGAATGTATTAGGACAGAAACAGGAGAAGAAAGAGGAGGAAGAGCAAGGTGTTGCTCTTTATTATCGACAAGCAATTGATATTGTGGGAAATTATCTGATGGATGAGTGGATTGACTTGCTCTGCACTGAGTTCAAGTACGTTGTTAATTGTGTTTATAAGGTAAGAGTAACAACTAAGTTTTTTCTGGCTTTTGTGGACAGAGTGGAGAAGGAGGTCAAAGCTGTTGCAAAAGTGGCGGCTGGATCGATCGATACGTTCAAGCGGTACGACCGACGTGAAGCCATAGACAACGCGACCAAACGTCCGACACTTGCCACTGGAAATGGTGCCAAGAAAAAGAGCAAGTTGGCCAATGTAGATCGATCCGGGATGAAATCGCTGACGTCGTTTTTTGGTAAGAAATAGCCTTGGAGCATGCTTCTTGGCAAAGCAATAGCTTTAGCGAATTTACATTTTAAAGCTGTCTATCGCTCATAGTCGGGATCGACAGCAGCTAAAGCTTCGTCACCCACCACGATAGTAATCGGTGGACAGCCAGGATCGTATGAGGTCAAGCCATCACCTAAGCATCCTTTTTGTCCAAGCAAGCTCCATCACGACTGCAACGACAAAAGGCTTCGCAGTTGTGGCTTCAGCTTCCTTCATTTCTTGGAGTACCTGCAATCGCATGACTTCAAACGATGCAGCACTACAAAGTTCAAGTCCAAGCAATCACAGCGCACGTATTCATACTTATCACCTCCATTTGCGATTTATTCAGACACCTTCCTGATACCAACGTCACTATGGTATTCTATGATCCACATAAACGTGACTCGCTAGACTCATCAATTCGGCATCATCCGCATTATGTAGTCAATGATGGAGCAATGGATTCTTTGTACAGGCGTTCAAATCCGGCTGACAAAATATCAGCTGCCCGTGCGATGCCCGATCCATCGTCATTGAAAAGCTTGCAGTTTGACCACATCAGTCGAATATCGTTGGCGAAGAGCGTAGAATCCAACTCATTGACACCATCCGCCACGGTGTTGCTATCTACGTTATACGCACCCTTCTTCAACTTGTTCTCAATCGTTGATAGATCCATCGGTTGCTTTACCACTCGCGTATACATCGGAACATTTTCCACGGGAGAGAGGAACTGCTTTGAAAATGGATGTGACTGCAAGCACTGAACAATTTTCAGACACTTGTCCAACAAATTTTTCTCCGAAGCCACAGCAACGGCATATGCATCGAACCGCGACGGTTTCTTACACTCGTTGCACTGCCAATCACCTTCAGGAAGATCAGTCTCGGTCATGTGCAAGCACTTTAAGTGGAAGGAACGCGGGCACTTATCACAACATACCAGATCGCCAGCCCCCTGGCAAACCTCACAGTAGTCCAAGTTCGCGTCCAGTTCACTTTCCGAGCCACCTCCCTCTTCATCGTTCTCCTTGTCTTCCTTTTCATTTGTCTCGACTGCAATCTGTTCGTCGTCGCTTTTACCTCGCTTATCTCGCTTTGGGGGTCGACCTCTTCCCCTTTTGGGAGGCTCGGTTCTTTTACGTTGTTGTGGCCCCTTCTTTCCTGCTCGCGAAGTTATTAAAGCTGGAGCAACCGCATCATCAATTTTTTTGCGGGAACGCCCTGGTACACGATGCGATGGCAGATGTGGCGGTGTCTGTGATGATTGATTTTCATTTGTACCAGTCTGGAGGGCGCTTTCCTTGCCACGGCCATTCAGCTTCGAACTACGCTGGTGTTGACGCTGACCTCCATTTCGCTGTTCACTTGCAGCACTTTCATTGCAATGAGGCGCCCGAAAAACATCTCGTGACGTCATGTTATGTGAGTCACGTGGCTCCGGAGTGGCCTCATTGTCGCTTTCATTAGCTTTCCGCCTCACTACCTGACTCCCTGTGATAGCACCGAAGCTCGAGCATCTACGAGGCGGGCTATCATCCGAGTTCATGGAGCTAGTATATAACTGATCTCGGGCTTGACGGCATCTGTCCGCAATCCCGCGTGCATGGTACACCAGGGAAGTTGCTTCCGTTTCAGTATCATTCAAGCCTGTCGCGTTTCCACTCGGTCCATTGTTGCCTGCAATATCATTTGGAACGTAGCTTGATTTACTCTGGCTGTAAGTACTATCCTTGCTAAACTGACTTCTCACATCAGAGGCCACCAAGTCTGGTGGGGCTCCGCCTTGATTCAACGAGCTCAACAAGTGGACCAGGGACTTCTCCGACTCGGAACAATTCAAAATGGTCGACGCTGATGGTAATTCCATGAAGCCTGGTGACGCGACTCGAGCAGCAACTCGACGATCAGCGACTGTTGCACCATCACCAACTACAGAGAGACAATCGGCAGAAGTGTCGTTTTCTGCTCGTTTCCGAGTAACGGGGTACCGAGGTGAATGCATTTGTTGTGTCTGCATACCGGAAGGCTGCATACTCAAAGCCTGAACGCCAGAAGTCTGCATTCTGGGAGGCAGCAGGTTGGAAGCATGCATACTGGTTGCTTGCGTGCTTGACATTTGCACACTGTAAGACTGGACATTGTAGCCGTAATCACTACGGCTGTTTTGCGGATAATGCTTGTACTCAGATTGCAGAGGCTGCACTAGTCGGCGTCCATCATGCACTGATTCTGTCTCCGGCCTCCGAGCAGAGTGTCCGTCGTTTTGAACATGGGGACGGTCTGTCGCTGGAGATGTAGGCGGATACTGTGCGTATTGACGACTTTTGTTACTGCTTTCAACAGCACCATGTCCTAAACGCCCCTCGGGCACGATTGAAGCAACGGCAGCAGTAGCACGTTCATCACTCATCGCACTCACTGAACCCCGTCCACTACGACGCAGCGTGTCGAGAAGATAACATTTGTACTTGTAGACTTTCCTCTTCTTTTCCGCTCTGCAAAGAGTGCACGGACATCCGTGTGCGCAAACCAAGCAACGCAGCAAGCGTCGATTGGGTGTAGCGCCATTCCTGCCCACAAACAACGCTTCCAACCGCACCCTGTAAACACTGCGAAGATGTTCCCGACACAGCGAGTGGTTCTCGTCTGCATGTGGGCAAAAGTTTACAACAGGCACATACTGCTTCTCTTTCACTCCACACAAATGACACAACCCCTTCGCCACAAAGTTGGCTTCCCGATCGAGAATCAAGTCCTCCATAGCCACCGCGAACGCATCGTGTAGCACACTCTCATCTAGATTCACTTGCTCTCTCAGCATCTTCTCCACTCGCGGAGGCAACTTTTTGTCTCTCTTGTAGTCCTCAGTCATCTTTCCCGAAGGTCCTTCCACCTTTCCACCTTGATACATTTTTCCAGTAGACATCTCCATCGCTTTAATGCCTTGACCCTGAATAAATCTCCCCTGCTGATACCCTCCATCTATCGTTCTCCCTTGATACACTACAGCTCCATCTGCTGTACTTCCTTGATACACTACATCTCTTTCCATCAATCTTCCTTGATAAGCTGCCATATGGTCCATTCTTCTACTTTGAATCATTCTCGTCTGATAAGAACTATATTTGTCCATCATTCTTCCTTGGTACTTTACTGCTTCGTCATCTCTTGCTGTATTTCCCATTGCTTCAGAAGCAGTCCTAATTACCCCTTCATAAGGTGTCACTACATCCATAGATTCTCTTGCTTGAACTTGTTCAATAGACTTCTTTAAACCTCTTCCTTGATACACACCAGAGCGTTCTCCTGCACGTGTTGTAACTTGAACATGTGATAATAAAGTACTAGTTCCCTCATATCCCGCAGGATATTGCTGAGGACATTGTATCACTGTTTCTTGTGATTTCATCGACGTTTGAAAAGTCCCTCTCTCGTGCCCATTTAAAGCTGATGACGTGGCAGTTGTCGTCATCTCACTTGATGATGTAACAACTGTCGTATGAATGTATCCATCTGATGTCTTGCCTTTGCTCAGTATTGCTTCCATCCAGACTTCATTAGGAGGAGGAAGTATCAAGCGCTGTCGCTTCTGTTCAATAGATAGGATAAATATATATATAAAGTTATAGAGACATGAGAATCATAAGAACAATAAAGAGAAGAAAGACATTTACTTTTACGTCGTACCTTATCCCTACGGTTTTGTATCGTTTCATGATACATTCTCCCCGTAAATTTAATCCAAATGTCGTCGTCGTCGTCGTCGTCGTCGTCGTCGTCGTCGTCGTCGTCGTCGTCGTCGTCGTCAAAGGGTTTTTCAAATTTGGTCCTTCACGCTGGCGTGAAATAAACGTGAGGATTAATATCTTGTAAAAGACAATATGAAAAGGGTGTCTAGTACTAGATCAAAGAGGGACAGACCTCCCATCTTCTTTTGGTGCTTAAAATTCAATTTGTGACGCGTTTGTCTTGTCGGTAATAACAACAACATGAACAACTCGATAGCAACAAGTTTGATCACAATTAAAAGTATACATATGCAAAGGATTATTCATGTATACAACTAATGTTATTGTGCATTCGTTTCCTGGTCAAAACCTAGTGATGCTGCCAACTTGACAATAGTTTTAGACCTGAAATATCGTCGATAGGCTTCATAAATAGTAGCTCATCATTGTAAAACAAGTTTGTTTTGTTGCTTTCTCAAAACGACGTAGACTTTCTGTATGTAAGCTTATCTGTAACATTGTCCATTGCACATGTAAGAGCAAAAGTTCTTGGAGTAGAGCTTGCACATCTTGACAATTTGCGCATCGATCGTACACATCTTAAAGATGCGCAATGACGATGCGTAATTTGTTTAGGTTGAGTTTTTTAACGGTCTAGCACCAGTATATAGTACTACCAAATACTTACTATGGGCCAGGGACACACTGACAGATACATGGTCGCGAAATGATAACGAGAACAGATATTCTCTGTACCCATCTACGTGGATAACGAGGTAAATAAATAGCATCAGCCGTCCACAATTTCTCCATTTTAAAGGGTAGTGCATGATCACAACATATGATCACGTATATGGCGATTCACCACCACTAGTCCTTGGCGTATTACTACTACCACCTGAGCAAAAACTAAAGCAAGCAGCTTCCTTCGCGTCGTTTGCAGCAAAATTACCCATATAAGTGTTATCTTTGTCTTTTACTGTTTACCCTGCTGGTGTGGGGGGGGGCGACAACCGTGATCTAAATCCCAACGCTTGTTATGCCACCACTAATCAATGGATTGCAGCTCTTTCGAACGTCTCGTTTGTAAGCTGAATCAGCTTTCTACGGATAAGTCCCATACTTGTTAAGACCGTCTGTACTTTTCCACTTACCTATAAGAACCCTTTGACAAATGAGCGAGCACCCTCCACCCATGCATTAACAAGTTCCTGCAATTCTCCGTTCCGCCTCCTAGTCGCCGGCCCGTTCGCCAAGCGAATTCCGGTCCCACCAAGCGAATCCCCTAGAACGTGATCTTGACCGTTCGATTTCGAACGAAGCTGCATGTCACGGATCAGTCGTCTTGGACAGCTGGTTTGGTTTCCTGCCTCACTTTCAAGGCGCCACCTGCCCCCCTGTATGTGCTCCGATTTAGTCTCACATGCCCACGTGCCCTTTTGAGGTGTCACCCTTGAAGCCCGTTAAGTTGAGCCATCAGAATGAGCTAGTGCATAGGAGAACGATGTAGTCATGGCAAAAGATCAGGCGATTTTCCTCACAGACATATCTTGAATAAGCATAAAATTTAGTAGACAGTATGATCATTATCATACCTGCAAGAACTCTAATAAATTTCGGTTTCTGAATACAGTCAAACTGGAATAAACAACTCAAAACTGTGGTTAAAGGCCATTAAGTTGGTCGTCTTACTCAAACGGGACGACATATGCACTGCAAATCTCGACTTCTAATCTCACTTTTTATCTCTAGGATGAGAGCCGTTTCGCAGTACCCGAGTTCAATGGCAAGGAATACATTGACCGAGGTATGGAAGTTAGAGATAATCTGGTCTACACACCTGATTGAATTGAGCTGTGCTTTTTCGAGGAAAGTCGTAGCAAATATAAACAAATTTGCATGACGTTGGAAGCTAGTCGAAAAAAGTATCTCAAAATGGGAGTACCGATCCTCAACTCAAACGGATCCAGCGCTGCTACAGTCCTACACTCTAGCTTTGAACTTCTGTCAAAGTTACCATTATGCCTCGTTAGTAATACAGAATGACTAGTACGCAAAGTCCTTATCAGCAAACTCCGTGATCAGCAAGAGATGGATGTTCTCACAAAATGTCGAAAGCTTGGAGCACCAAAGCTCTGGACCTAAAGCGCGTAGGTCTTTTACAAAAGCGCATCTTAATACTAGTCTTCATCGTATGAGGAAAACACAGAGACCACAGTGGCCATCAAGAAGGCGATATCTGATTGCATTGTAAAGTGGACAAGCTCAGCGGCATGTTCAAACAAGAGAAATGAAATAGTTTCTGTTTGTTTACACCCTCAAGAGTTGAAAACGCAAAGATATGGGGAAGAAGTTTTCAGAGTCCTATTCCTCTACATTTGGGGGGTGTTACAGGTTTGGGCACCATCTTCCTCGGAGTCCGATTTTGCGTTATGTCTTTGCACAAAGTATTGAAGTAAATGTCCCTTCAGGGAAAAGGTAACGCTTCATCCCACACACAAGGCTTTACTTAGTAGAATATGACTTGAATATCGTTTGAACTTATCGAGGTAAGTTTTGATGAGATATGCTTTTGGCTGGATTGAAGAAAATAAAAGTGAGAACGATTAGTTAAGTTACGCTAGTAAATCGATAGCATTCAGCCATCCGGTTCCTGTCTTAACTATCTAACTATGCATTGTCCTTCTTCTGTCATGTGCAATATGTAACCTACCCATGAATCTAGCTACAGCATCCTTCTTAACAAAATCCTCCGTCCAGTAAGGCCGAACACGGTTTTTTAGCTCAAGACGTAAGATCAGTCGATCCAATACGTGGGAATCACTCTCATTAGTATTTGGTTAGGCTTTGGTGATACTATTCTAAGAAATAACCAAACATTTAGTACACCCAAGGATTGGAGGGGTGAAATTGAATTGAACCTAGCGTGGAGATGAGAGATGTGATGAAAGGAACACACTGTTTTGACTGGAGTAACAAGGTATGCGTTTTACTTTGGCTAGCTATGCCTCAAAGAATACGGTCGTGCATGCTCTGCTGCAATAGGAAATATATTAGCGATCATCTGGAAGAAATCCGCACGTGTGTATCGAAAATACGTGCTGTAACATGTTCTGACATGATTTCCAAGATTCCTGAGTCGAAAAGATCCAGCAAAAACTGACTGCTCTTTCTTCTGCGTAGAAAGAGGGAGTCACATATCGTCTATTATAGCTACTTATCACAATTAAGATATCGAGTTGTGTGGTATCTCGTTTCATATACCACGACACAATCTACGTACACCTCACTTTCTCAATCTGCTGGCTCAATACTTTGGGCTTCACGGCGTAGCACTCGAACAAGGAACCGTAAATCAGTCCATTGACCAAGTCCAATTATCTTTGCGAGCACTCTAAACCGAATGGCTAGGCTGCTCTCGCTCTCGGAGCAATCTAATTTAGATGACAGTGTATGCTTGACTAAAAATCCTGTTACCAAAAAGGTTATTACAGCGAGCCATCATGACGTAATTCCTGGCCTTCACGTCGTAGTCGACTTGCTCTGTCGGATCTCGGGGTCCACCAAGGTAAGGAAGCCAGAAAACTGGCTTCCTGCAGGGTCTTGTCTCTGTCCGTTGTCGCCTTTGGGAAAGTGCTTTTTTTCTGCATGGCATCATTCTCGCTAGCAAATCATGTCCAGCAAGCACAACGAAGCTTTTTTCCTTGATAAGCTATTCTTAAGTGAAAATATTAAGGACTTACTAGGGAGTGGGAGTGTACATACACAATGAGGACACGTGTTCCACTACCATTAGCAGAGGTTCTTCTATGTTTTATGCACATGTTGTACTATACCGGATCCTTTCTGGATACTTGCTAATAGAAAGTCCCGTCTGAAGCTTTGCTTTAAGCCTCCAGACTGTATCCTGGCCATTCCTGTGGGGATACGAAATCGCTTTACGACAGGAATAAAAAAGTTGTATGGGAGATAAATTACTTTAATATCGTATCGTGACTGCTATCGTTTACACGACACGTTGGCGCTTCATGGGACTGCCTAATGAGATCAAGGCCATTGTGAAACGCTCCGTCTCCGCGGTCTGGTACTTGGTCCACAAGCGGGAAACTATCGCCTCCTCCTGTTTCCGGCGAATGTAGCTGCTGTGCGCCGGTAGCTCGGCGACTGCGAGACGCTTGGGAATGATCGGCATAGACTCGACGAACAAGCTAGGGTCCAGCTCATTCAGGTACTCGTCAAGGTCCTGAATAAGCACACGCTCGGAATACTGCTTTTCTGTTCGCTGCTGTTGCTGTTCGAGCTGATGCTTGCGTTCGAGGAATTCCTGAATCTCCTCATAGTAACTACGTGAGCGACTGTCGTGTACACCGAGTAGTTGAATAGAGGTCTCGTCCAATCCACCGAGTTGGGCACAAATGTACTGCTGTACGTGGTCAATCTCGGTACGGTACTGTTGTTCTTTGGCAGGTGAAGCGAAACGTAAGGGGCGACGCACAATGCGGCGGGTTGAAGGTAACTTGTTGCTATTGCTAGTCATTATTTTTAGTGATCGGTACGTGTAGTTGACCGCTAATAATATAATGGGATCAACTCAGTCACCGAAGTCCTGTGTGGCAAGTCCTACGGCCGTTACCCATCGCTTCAAGACCATCACCTTTGCTAACGACGTGACAACAGGCGTGACACTTTAGGTATCAATCAGGCGATAATGGATTCTTTTTTGGTGATCAAAAGTACATGAGAGAGGTAGGAATCCAATATGTTTCTATTATCCTCGAAAAGCAATCCAAAGTGTTTTCGCAGGAATATAAATTATGAAAGGGCTAGACCATCCCTCCATTAGTCATCGAGTTTCGAACAAAAAGAGACATTTTTATGAAACGTTGACAGAATTTTATTAGCTGGTAGACATTTGTCGGTCCATCGGAAGATAATGTCGATTCACTATAGGCTTTAAAATAAAACAAATTGATTTGTACCTACTCGCAGAGAAAATCCTGTAAAACCGTGTCTTACCGCCATTAAAACACACTCTCATTCGCTAAAACTCATTTCAATACCATTTTCTATTGGTTAAAAGTCGCATCGTGGTACTATCCGGATCAATCAGGTCACTTCTCATGGGCGCTGATAATGTCGCGAAACGTGCACTATTGACCGGCAGCTTTCTGCTTTTCTCTTCAACTGTGGCGTTGTTCTGCCTGGAGCGGAAACGTTATCGGCGTCAGCGATTGACTTACAAGAAATTGTCGAAATCGTACGGAAATTCACGTTATTTTATCATTTTTTATGAAAAAATCGTGGTTATTACTCGCATTTTCTAAAATTACAGATCTGATCTTGGGGCATCTTTTGGTTTGGATATTGGTAACGGATATTTTTGATAAAATCCATGGATATTATTTTCTGATTTGGGACTGACTCCGGCGCTGCTGACGAATTAGGGGGGACACTGGCTAAGATCGTGTACTTTGAGCGCTTTGAGGATGGGAATGATAAGCGCAAACGGCCTCGCTCGGCTTCGCTGGACGTTGCAGCTCGTGAAATGAAGAAATTCCTGCGTGAGAATCGGTCCTTTGGTACGACGGGAGTGCAGGATGTACGACTGAGGACGTACTCTAAGACATTAAATGGGGTGCGTTTACGGTATTTTAATGGTGCAATTGGAGCTGGATAAGTTAATGGAAAGCTATTCAGGTCTTTTATTTTGTGCGATTTGATAGTAACAAGACACGAGAAGCAGTTGAATTTATTGCAAACAATGGCATTAATCAGTCGCTGCGTCGTCTGCCCTGTACGGGTGGTGGGGCTCATAAGGTACGAATTAAGATTAAAGTCGATAAATTATGGTGTATCATATGCTGATATATATATGACTTGCTTGATTATAGTATGGACCTGCATTTAATGAGATTGCTGGGATAGAGTTGGAAAAATATGACGAGATCAACTGCACTATTTTGGGGCTGCATCTTTTACTTACGACACTATTGGATGAAATGTACACTTTTGAGGTATGTTGATGGGGTTGTGAGAACTGTTGTTGTAAAGTATGAGGCTGAGGTGGTACATTCATTGCCATGCAGGTTGTTGATTTTGACTCTTTAGCCGCATCACGGGCGAAAATAATCCCATCGGATGCAGACGACAGTGTGTATCCGTATTTGGTGCGTTAATGAGAACTGTCATTTGTTGTATTGTGGCGGTAAATAAATTCAATTAACACTGTTGTTATGGCAGCTTGTCAGTATCGGGTCTGGTGTTAGTGTCCTGTATGTAAAGGGACCTGAAGATTATGAGCGTGTAAGCGGCAGCAGCATTGGCGGGGGCACCTATTGGGGTCTTTGTCGTCTGCTGACTCACTGCGAGTCGTATGATGAAGCGTTGGATTTGTGCGTTCATGGCTCCAATGAAACAGTCGACATGAGCGTGGGAGATATCTATGGTGGAGCATACGATAAGTTTAAGTTACCGGCATCGACAGTTGCCAGCAGTTTTGGCAAAATGATCTCGGTATCTCGCGAAAGTGTGAGTGATGCTGATCTTGCTCGATCACTATTGGTTATGATCACCCAAAATATTGGTCAGGTAGCCTTCCTGAACGCAACTTTGTACAAGACCAAAAACATTTTCTTTGTTGGAAACTTTCTAAGGCACAACAAAATTTCATCAAGGACACTGGCGTATGCAATTAATTTCTGGTCAAACGGGGCAATGGAAGCGCGCTTTTGCAAGCACGAAGGTTATCTTGGGGCTCTTGGAGCATTCTTGCGGCATGCCGAGGCGACTAATGCTCACGGTAAAGAGTTTGTGTCAGCTACACGACGGTCGCACCCATTGTCTTAAACGTAAAGATAATGGAAAGTTACAGGGTTTTTCGTATAGGCTGCGTGTTGTTTGAAGAGCTCGCTAATGCTTTTGTTGGTGTGGGAGGAATTACTAGCTGCAGCAAAGCAGACAAGCAGGGGCACATCGTTAACGAGTCGCACTTTGACAGTTGTTAGGAGAGCTACAACCTTTTTGACAAGCACCTAAGCAAACCAATTTATACTGCATCTAATACGCAGTAGTTGTGTTGCACTTGGTGCTCAGATTGCAAACTCATAGCACAACACCTGCAAGCTTTGAATGATGTTTTCTGCGTTATAGGCTGCCCAAAACCATCAAGAGGATTTTGCTCAACATTGCGTCATTCATGAAGCGGTATGGTTATACGGTCACAAGATAGCACTTGTCTCGGCTCAGCTTTCTGCGACATTGACCGCTATTGCACCCCGTTTCCATGCATTTTTTTCACCATCACTCGATTAAGCACGTAGGGACATGTAACAAGATAATTGTCCAGCAAAGACGTTCAATAGCATACAACCACTATCTGTTCATCCACGAATCAGCTTGTGTGATCTCGCAAAGCACCAAATGTGTACCTGACGTAAACATGTTGTTCCTCGAGCTACCGTGGCCTTGGCGAATGCTTTTATTTGTATTCTTGCTTGTGAAGCGTGACGAACATAAATCTCGAGCCCACTAAAATTTCACTCGTATTCATCACACGTTCTCAATATGCTTAAAACTCCCAGAAGTGGTATCAAGATCAGTGCTCAGCCCTGCAGCCTCTGCGATGCCGTTGGCGGTAGATCCCGACCTAAACCACTCCAGCGCGTACTCCTTGTTTTTCTGGAAGCACAGAAAAGCCTCTACCATTGTTGGATTGTCGGCCAGTGAAGCCTCACGCCCAGGTCCTTCTGTGCGCAAAAGCACACTGTACACGTTGTTTCGGACAGTCTCACCACTTGAAGAAGCCGCCGGTAGCGAGAGAACCATTTCAGCGTAAGGTGCAATAAGCGGAAAGCGCAGCTGATTGGTTTTCCACCATGTCAGTGGATCTACGTTGCGCTCCGACACTGGCAGACTCAAGAATGCACTCAGCTCCTTTTCCCACGTCGCGATCATCTCATTTTCGCCATGAACAGATGACTTGGACGATTCAGACGGCAAGTGTGAGAGCAGGTCATCATCTTCATCGTCACCGAGTCCAACATCGTTGCCCGTTGGGCTAACCGGCTCCTTAGTCAACTCTACGTAGGGAGACGGTGTCATCCTAGCCACAGAGTCTACGCCAGAGTTTGACTGTCCAGTGGAACCAGAAGCATTCGATGACTGCATCATGGCACCTTCACGTGTTAACATCTGGCGAAGGAATTCCTTGCCAACACCGCACTCGACCTTAGGAGATAGATAGCAATATTCACGATTCTTGTAACGTGGATCGAAAAGTGTTGCTGCATAGCAGACTGGCGGCAACGTCGCAAACTGATCACGCAACTTTCTCGACAGCGCCTCGAAAAAGCTTTTCCACATAGCTGGCCACAAGTGGGCAGGCACACTCTCAGCAACCGACAGTGCCTGTTTCTCTGCATACGTCACTAAAGCCGCGGCAATTGTAGATATGCTTGAAATCCCATTCTTGTTCACTTCCTTATCGCTACCTGTTTTCCTGTTCTTTTCTCCTTCGAGCGCCTCTGAATACCGGGAAAATGGCCGCAACTTCTTTACGAGCAAACTGATAAATTCCACAGTTGATGCGGGAAGATACTTCACCAGGTTTGCGTCTGCAATCTGCTCCAGTATAGGTAGGTGGTCCATTAAGGTACGGAGGAATTCGTAGTAGGACATTGCTTCGTCTCCTTCCAAACAGAGCCCAACATCAAACAGCGGGCATTTACGACTTAAAGAAAGCATTGCCTCTTCATTCCTTGCCAATCGGACCACAAATTCCTCGACTTGACCCACCACATCCGGAAATGCCTTAGCAAATACTTCTTGTGTCAAGCAGACACGAAGGTGCTGCACCGCAGAAGTTAAAAGGAGTGTATTCTGTGCCGCATCGGGCGAAACAAATGGACCGTCAAAGTTAATAGGCAAAAAGTGGGACGGAAGGTCGGGTGCCGTGAGCTGGACCTTCATCCGGAGCTCATCCGTAATACATGCAATGATCTTGTCCTTGATACCCAAACGTACCAAATACGAGTCCAGAATGTCCTTAATATTTTCTAATTTAGCCGATTCCTCCAGTGGCACAACTCCAATTGCAATATCAAACAACCGAAAGTTGACACTAAAGTGAATTTTCACAGCCAAATACTGCGTCGGTTTAAATTTCATCAAGGCCGGGTGTTTCCAGATCTCCATTGACACGGCAACACTTTTACTTTTACTCAGTACCATTTTTGTCATGAGGAAAACACTTTCCTGCAGCATCAAGATACTTTTAGCCAGTACTTCTTCAGTTGGTAATGACAATTTCTTCTCTCCCAATAACTGGTTCATCACATACTGCATCCCTGGTTGAGTTGCAAAATTTAGTGGTAAATTGTCCATTAAGGCCATTAAAGCCAAGTCTTGAGTAAATTGTTCAGTATTTACCGGTATTGCTTGGACACCATAGATCGAGCCTTGCTCCTTGTTCATAGTTAACCCAGTTGGGTACGTATAAAGAGCTGCGGCTGTTGGATCTCTCTTTAATGCCGCTGCAAGCATCCCAGGAGAGCCACCAGCAGCGGCCATAGCGGCAGCTAGAGCTTGTGATGCACCAGGTGACTGGTACAGAACTGTAGATCCGTATTCAGCACCCCCTTGACTACTCTGTAACCCAATCTTTTGACGTTTAAGATACCGTTTCGTCTCACGGTGTTCCTCGCATACATTATTAGCCTGTTGATGTGTGACATCCATCCTTCCAGCAGTACGCAGATGCGACAATAAATTGGACGAATGGTGGCCCTTGATCACACGCTCGCAGAACTTACAGACAGAATTACCAGACTGATCCTTCTCAAAATAAGACCACACTGCCGAGACACTTGCGGGTCCATTTGTCCCAGTAATCGACGGTGAAGACGTGGCCGAAGCCTGCAGATATTCAGCACTGGACGGGGGGACACGCTTTACCATTCCTCGAAAACCGGTACGTGCGGTACTAAGGAAATGACGAATGAGCTGGCTAGTAGTTTATTAACTATCATTGGTCATGTGTGTGCTGTTTAAAAGGATTAAAGTATCAGTACCGTTCATACTATTGTAGTACCGGTGTATTGTACCCAAAAATGATCTATATTGACATAAAACCCGTATCTTGAATATATCATATATGACTATAGGTGGATGTCTTTAACTGTCGCGCGAGCTGCTCACGCACAAGTCGATTGTGCAATCTCCGCTCCAAGACCCCACATCAACAGACATTTAACAATTGCTCGAGTTGAAACAATCTCTCTGCTCGGTTGCAGGCAGTGACTTGGTAGCCAGCATCAGCCCTAATACAACGTACTCAGGCTTTACTAACCCTTTTCGTGCCACGTCTCATCTCATACGCACGTAAGGTCGCTTCTCGTGGTAGTCACCTTGTTGTTGCCAGAATGCCAGTCATAATTGACGTGAAAAGGGCAAAAGAAGACGTTTTCATCGTACGCGTACAATGTAAAAGGGCATCTACTTACGCGTAAACATTAAGTAATAATTAATGTAAGGTCTAAAAGTATTCATGATTACTTTTGACCTGTCACTTGGGTGCGATACACAAACGTGATCCACCCTCGTGAATGTGATATCCATTTATGGATTCACATGAGAAGGGATGACGCTAGTTGAAGCTAGGCATCGCGACGTCCCAGAAGGACGTCACTAGCAAACTTAAATCTAAATTTAAGCTCACACGTCAGGATAAGCTTCTGAAGAGTCGCGTATCCGATCTATATACATAATTAGCCAATCAGTAGTTAAGTATATATTCAATTATAATTCATTAAATATAGCTCAGTCTTGAATTTCCTTAAAGCATAAGCACCGCGCACGAGAAGCTATAAAAGCTTTTGCGTGACGTCGATGACTTCTTGTTTTAGAAGTTCGTTGCGCTATCGCTTAAGCGAGAGGCAATTGGTGGTACGACTGCGTAAGCAGTCGACAACCCCCCTTGCACGCGAAGGTAAGACGGTCTGACCGCTTCCTCGCTTGTGCTTGAAGGTGTGCCCGCGTAGTACGAGGCAACTTCTTTACGAAGCTCCCGTCTACACTTGGTAGCACTAGTAGTCCTTCACGCGACTCGTCTCTCTGAGCGTGCGTGTGGTTGAGATGGTCCTTGTTTTGGACTGGAATGACTTTCCTCACCTCTCCCAACACCATATGGAGTTGGCAGGGCATATGGCGCAGGGACTTGGTGAACAAGCCCTGATCAACTTCTTAAATGGTCCTTCTGAGCAACATATTGCTTAGTTAGAGCAATTCGAGGCGTTTGTTTTCGGACAGCGCAGAAATGCGTCCGAGTTAAACAGCCAAGCCACGGCTGAGTCCATCACTAAGACTCAGGATGAGCTTTTGCGTGAACAAGCTCGGAATGAGGCGCTCAACAGAATGGTTAAGACGCTCTCTGCGCGGCCTGCTAAACCGAGGCCCATTCAGATGGAACCTTCGAAGTTTGATGGGAATGCCCCACATACGATTGTCCACTGACTTTTAGCCGTGGAGCAATGCGGTATGGTGCAGCTCATCGAAGACGACACCAGGATGGTGTCGTATGCCATGTCCAACTTGCGTGGCAAAGCGTTAGAGTGGGCATACTCTGCGCTGATGGCAAACGACGATGCGTTTCCATCATGAGTGATCTTTAAGTCAAAGATTCGTGCCATGTACCAGCCGCCTAACAACGAAGTGTTACTTCAGGCGCACTTCATTGGAGCACGACAGGCGAAACGCTCTCTGCAAGAATTTGTGCAGGAGATGCGTTCGCTGTCTGCGTCCATCAATGGGGTACCGATACCGGAACGTATCAAGGCGCCTACGTTCATGAACGGACTACGGCATGGCCCATCGCGTCAGGCCCTTTTTAGAAAGGTTCCAAAGACGATGGAGGGGGCAGTTGACATTGCCATGGTTGAGGAGCAATCCAACAACAGCGCCTCGGCGACAGCCTATTACAGGCCGTCTTCCGAGAAGTCTGATGCCACTCCTACGGAGTTAGGCAATTCAGACGTGATATGTTACAAGTGTGGTAAGAGAGGCCATATGATGGCTCGCTGCTATGCCAAACTTGCTGCTGGTGCTAAGGCAGCCAGCAAGAAGGCTCCCTACCCGAAGGGTTGGTGCGAAGAATCAGCGTGCACGACGCACGGGTTCAACACCTTTCCAAGATGGGTCGGGAAATGCGGGAGCGCAGTAGGGGCGGGATGCCCTACCGTCGCGGACTCTGAAGCTACCCCTAAGTTCAGAGTTATTGAGCTAATGGGTAGCATAGTCCCTGAGGCACTGAAAGGTTGGGCCTCAACCCTTTTGGTCTATAGAGCTCGAGTACGAGGTTATGACCAAGTGATGACCCTTCTCGTGGATTCGGGTGCATCACAAAACTTTGTGAAACTCGCGGATCTGAAAAAGAGTCCGGCGAATTATGAGTCGCTTTGCCAGGATGGCAGGCGAGAAGAGACGATCGTTTGTTTAGCGAACGGCGCGCTCGCAAAATCGGAGAGAGTTCAAGTTGAACTCGCTTTCAGCTTCAGTGACTTCTCTTGTAAAGAGAAGTTCACAGTGCTAGGTATGGAGAGTCCGTATGACCTCATCCTAGGCATGGCTTGGTTGGATAAACACCAACCATGGATAGACTGGCGTGTACGCACAGTCGCTAGCTCTACGCAATACACCGGAAAGGATGTGGTCCTGCGAGAGGCTTATGTGGCTTATGCTGTGTCCTATACAGTAGAGGGTGCGATAACGGTATGCCAATCTGCACCAGGAACTACCCAGCTCGAAAATAGTGGTGTAGTTGGAAGTTTCTGGCAGAAAGCCAAATGACACATATTCCTACCCAGGTCGAAGCGACTGGTGTAGTGAATGGGGCGATGACAGGTATTCATGCGTCCAATAGTCCTGCACAGAGCCGAGAGCCTGTGGCAGTTGATGGTGTGCTGACAGAAAGTCAAGCGACACAAGAACCGGCACAAAGCCATGAGCCTGGTGCGGTTGGAAGGAGTGCGTTAGCTGAGATAGCAACGACACCATCTTCCAGGTCAAAGGTCGTGGTGACTCGAAGAACGAGCACCAGACGTATTAAGACGATCAAGGGCACGTCGAAACGAGTGACCCTTGGATCAGTCTTGGTCCAAGAGGACGGACCTACGAACGAGTTGTTCGAGGCCGTCAAAGACAAAATGCCGGAGGCATCCTCAGTTGAGGTGCTCCAATTTGTCTTGGCATCTGCCGAGGAGATAGTAAATCTCTCGGAGATGACGTGGTATCTGTTCCTGTCCAATCTAAAGGAAGGAAATTTCCACGAGATAGTCGCACCAGTTCCAAAAGAGAACGTGGTGGACTGTTGCTCTTCATCCACAATGGATGAGAGAGTCTTAGAGATCGACAAGAAGAAACGGTTCGCTGCTCAAGGCTGGGATGCCTTGAAGGACATCCCGTTCTATGATGTTCTTTGGAAACACCGTGATGTGTTTCCAGCAGAAGTGCCGAGCCGCCTACCGGCCAATAGGGGCATCAGGCACAAGATTGACCTGAAGCCTAGCACCAAGTATTGTGTGACCAGGCAATGGCCGTTGCCGAAGGAACAAGTCGATTACATCGATGAGTTCTTCGACAAGCGAGCCAAGGCGGGACATGTACGTGAGAGCAAGTCGCCTCACTGCAGCCCGACCTTCTGTGTGCGTGAAGCAACAGGTGGATGGCGCGTGGTTCATGCTTATAACAAGCTGAACACGGCCACCATTCCAGCTCAAACGCCAATACCGTGGAAAGATGTCTTGTTTAAATCCATGGGAAAGTCAACTATCTTTTCCGCGTTGGATCTGAAGGATGGCTACTATCAGGTTCTCATGAGAGATACCGATGTAGCCAAAACGGCAGTAAGCACCCCAAGCGGTATGCTGTGGGAGTGGCTTGTGATGCCACAAGGGTTGAAAAATGCTCCGGCAACATTCAACCGAGTAGTGGCTCACGTGATGCGTCAGCACCGTGCCTACGCGCCCCATTACTTTGACGATGTATTCGTGCATAGTAGGGCGGAGGACGGTCTGAGTGCAATAGAGTCGCACAAGCGTCATTTAGACGCTGTGTTGCAGACTCTGGGTGACGCCCAATTATACGTTAAATGTTAACAGTGTGTAATAGTGGTCCCCGAAATACCTGTGCTGGGCTGCATCGTAGGCGTACATGATGTAAGAGCAGACCCAGAAAAGGTAAAGGCTGTAAGAGAATGGCCAGTCCCACGTAATGTGAAGGATATTCGCCAATTCCTTGGGCTCGCTAATTACTTGCATAAGTACAGCAAGAATCATGCGGAGCAGACTAAGCCATTGTCTCATCTTTTGAAAAAGGATACAGAATGGACTTGGTCAAAGGATCAAGAAGATGCGTTCATTTCAGTGAAGCAATCTCTTGTAGAGGCACCGGTCTTGGCATTGCCAGACGCGGATAAGCCCTTTAGCGTCGTCTGCGATGCAAGCAATTTTGCCATCGGCAGCGCGCTCATGCAGAAGTATGACAACGGCGTTGACCGTGTCACTTCGTATCAGTCTCGGCTTTTAAAGGCTGCCGAGCTGAATTACCCTGTGCATGACAAGGAGCTACTTTCAATTAAGTATGCTCGTGTTAAGTTTCGGGTGCACCTCTTGGGCACCGAACCTTTTGTGGTTTATACGGATCACGCATCACTGCGGACCGCTATAAATTCACCACACCTCTCGCCGAGAATGGCGAGATGGCTAACATTCTTCTTTGAATTCAGTTTCAAAGTTGAATATAAGCCGGGTAAGTCGAATGTCTTGGCTGACGCGTTATCGCGCAGACCAGACTTCGAGGCAAGACACCAGGATAGTGTGTCTCGTGCGAAAGCACAAGTTGAGTCGTCAACATTGGCAGCCATGAAGGCCTACCATGTGACGAGCTCAATGGCCTCCGATATC